GAATGTTTTATAATACACAGTAATTTTGTCTTGTGCAGTACTGAAATAAACTCCTTGTAGGATTTGGGGTTGTTGCACCATGTAGTCTGTTAGAAGTTTACCAACCTATCAGAGGTCCTTGTCTCTGTTATCAGGCACCCATCACTGTGGGCCCAGAAAACAGCCATCATCCATCTCTAAGTTCCTTGCCTCATAAACTGCATTAGGGGAAGGACATTAGAACATGAGTGGACCCTGCAGCCAGTTACGATACATCACACAAAGGGATGAGGAGGGCAGGATTTATGATTTTAATTAGATTGAAGTTGCTCAGGATTCTGACCAGTTGTAGGTTTTAATATTTGTTTTACTGATCCTTTGTGTTCTGCTACAAGAGAGTTGATATTTCAAAACCACAAAATTTATCACAGTAAATTCTGCTTGAATGTGTATTTGATATGTCAAATATAGTGTGGTCCTGTAGGTGAATTTAATTTTGTAGATTTGAGATGACAGTGACTGCATGAAATCAAAACAGAACATAACATTTTTCTCAGAAATTGGTGCGACATGAAATAAAGGTTTGAGTACATTCTGCAACTTTTATTTTGAGTGTCTGATGAATATTTAATTAAATACAAGAAAAAACTCAAACCTGTGAACCAGCAGACTAGGCCTTGTCAGTGACGGGAATGCTTGTCTTAGAGGCATTATTCCTACTGTTTCAAAATTGGATGCTTGATTCAAGTTGTATACAATTACAAGAAATTCACTCTCTAATAACATTTGAATTTTGTCTTTTCTTTAAATTTATTTTGTAAAGATTTTGTTGTAGTTACTTTCATTAGTGAGCCGGTTTACAAATGCTGTGACCAGTCAACTATGCATTTCACTGTAAAGGTTTTAAGTATTTCAGGCACCATGTTATTTATCCAGTGTACTTTGCTTTCCCGCTGGCTAATTAATCGGGAGTAAGCTGTAAATAAAATCTCGTGATGACGTAACAATCTCTGGTTTCTTTAGCATTTGTAAGATCACACAATAACTGTGTTGTGTATAAACACGTCACTGTCTGATGGCGTTTAACATAACGTACCGTACAACACGCGCCTGTTTTCCGTACATTTCTCTCTCTCTGGCCTTGATGTAGAAACCCTTGCCGGAGCGTCCATTCCACTTGGGGCCGGGAATACAGTTTCACGTTTGCGTTGCTTAGAAGCTGCAGCTCTCTTGCGAGAGTTTATAGTTTAATATAGCAAACTGCTCGTGCAAAAAGACAGTCTTGATAGAATAATAATGAGTGATGAGCATGAGGGGTCCGTGAAACACACTCAGTCGATACGGTGTGCAAAGCATTGAAACAAAGTAATGTGTGTATATATTTGCTTCCCACCTTTTTCATATGGCGTCACCCACTCCAGGACAAGTGAATCTCCAAAGTGAGTGAGAGGTGAAAGAATGGATAAAATTTAACTACGTGGTAAGCGTAAAGCGTCGTCTGTTATACCAAGCACTTCGGTTTCATCTGTGCTAAGCACGTCGTCATGAAGTTGAATGGATTGCGTGAAGATGACTCTGGACTAGTACAGGTAGGGAGTTTTTAACAACTGTCTTACATCTTCTGTCCGCCTGCCCTATGATATCTGCTTCTGGTTTTATGTGATGTTGAAAATGCAAGATTTTGGGCGCTGCCACCAGAAGACTACAACCCTAAAAGGTGCCTCAGGTCACTGGTACCAGTAGCGGCAAATGCTTCAGTCTGGCTAATAGTCGGCCGCCATAAAAGTAAAACTGAAGAAATATGAATGAAACGTTTTACTAGAGGTCACATCTGATACTTGCCCTAGCGTTGGGAAATATCCTAGCATATTCTGTAAGAAGGAAAAGAGCTTAAAGATATATTGACAAAATCATTTTACAAGTCAACTTTTCTGTTTAGGCACACTAACTCATGTAGGGTCGTACTTTAACAGCTGGTAGTTCCTCAGTTGGTCAAGCTGTTCCCTTCTTTCAAACGTACGTTACTGTATTCACAAAAGAAAGTTCACCATTGAAACCTGTCCTGAACCAGTTGAACACAAATCATATTTTCGTTTTACTTTTCGAACATCCGTTTAACATTAGTCTATGCTTCAATCTATTATCTCCTCCTTACAGGTTTAACGACTGTTACTTACGTATTTCTCATTTCCTCTGGCGTCCTACATGTTCGACATGATTTAATCTCCCTAACAATATGCAGAAAATCCTACTACGTGTAGGATTGTCAATCGTATGTAAATATTTGAAATTGGCGATACAAAGCATCCAATACAGGCGATTTCCTTTTCACCCTCCACCTAGACTACAGAGAAATTTGAAGTGCTTACATCCTACCGCAGACCCGTTGATTGATTCTCGTCTGAGGTACCTGTGGGGGGCTAAAGGGCAGACGACTGAAGGAAGCTCGGTTCACCGAGACTCAATCCCCGCCCCTTGAACACCAGCGATCAGCTGGCTAGTGACAGTTGCGAAACAAGCGGCGCCCAGACACTCCGACTGCTTTCAGTAACCTCGCTCCACTGATCGAGGTTGGCGACAGATTATCATGCTGTGACGTCACAATACTATCTCTTTTACACTGCACGCTAGGGGATGCTTCCTATTTGTTTGTCTTTCCTTATAACAGGCGTCGGTCATTCACTCTGTAGTGCGTTTATTCCTGTGGCCAGTAGTTAGCTTCCAAGTACAAGGCGAAAGTTTAGCCGATTTCTGCTTTCGTTATTCCAGTTCTTTAAAAGCCCAACTTCCAAATGACCAATGAAACCACGTGCATTTGTTTATGTCAACTTGTTTACGGAATCCTTGTAATACAGAAGGAAGCCCCGTAGCATACAAGTAGAGACAACGCCATATTGGATCAGTGGTTAATTTTTGCGTGGATGCGTTAATTTTTTCCTTCAGATTCAAGACATTTCAGATATGTGAAATAAGTGTATATTATGTCATTAAAGTATTTATAATGATCGTTCCCATAAATGAAGTGTTTTCAGTCACGGACTAGTGTTTGTGTTTGGAATAATTAACACCTTGTCGGTACTTTTGAAATCGATTTGTCAGGCAGTTAACAAATTTGGAACGTCCTTGATTGACCGCCAGGTATGTCCACTTGTGATTATAAATATTGCTTGTTGGGTATCTATTAAATCGTCTAGTCATCCGCAGATCAGTTTCGGTAGTATAAACGTGAAATGTAACATCTCCATTGAGAAAAAAGGTTAATTATTGTTAAGCCTATAAAGTTCATCGCCGACGGACATTCATCGGATATAACACAATGGAGTCACAGAGGATTGTGGGTGACAGCCCAAGGCGATGGCAGTTACAGTTTTAGCCTTTAGTCTTTGTGTCACCATCATTTGGTTTTGTAGTTATATTATTTGCAATTAACACGCCAATATAAATATCGGCTGCCTGACAGTCTATCAGAGTTCTTTTTGGAAATGTGGCCTGATACAGTATGATGTGTTATGTAAACGTGTAAGCAAGTATGTCGTTCTGATGTGACTGGGAAACGGGACAAGTGGATTGATGTCACTCAGCAGTAGTAATGGTCGTCAGATTACTACGGAGGCCCAGAATTATATGTTTGGCAGTTGCAACTTAAAACGTGGTATTACTAGCATCTAATAAGCACGTAACGAACATCAGTTTATTGAAATGTGGTGTGTGGCAACATTCTTTATTATGTAGCAATTGGATATGTATTTTTCAAAATTATGTGCCTGTAATAAGATTACACATAAACAGGAAATAAAGCCACTTTACTTTGTTCCATCATAACAGGTTTTGCAAGCCTCAAAGGTTCCTGTTGAATGTATGGTATTCTTTTGGAAAATTGCTAATTGTATTGGTCTGTCGTACATAGATCATGCAGATTATTTTCTGTACATTACTTTTGCATATCTCATATTATATGCTGAACTAGTGGAATGTTTTTTTGGGGCCATTCTACTACATTAACAGCATGGGGAATTATTTACAATTGTGAATGTAACTGGAGGCTCATCTGTACTGTTTGTTATTACATTTCTGCTTTCTCTGTGGCAAAATCAACTGGAAGTATGTGCAGTGCATTGTAAACTTATTTCTGACAAAATGTGTAATTCACTGGTCCATTATTTTACTTTTGAATTTTGTTAAATAGAGGTCACACAAGTAGAGACAAAAATTGGTGCCCTTCCTCTTGTAGTGACGTGGTCTTCTTACTGGGGCTATTATCAGACTTTTGCTAATCCTGTCCTACACAAATGATGAAAATGCCCCTACCTAAATTGCCATTCCTGGTCTTAGCACTATTGTAAGCTTCACTTTACAAAGAGCTTTCTCTTCAAAAATTCTGTATGCATTTCTTATCATTACACTCCAACTTTAATGTCTAGCTCCTCATCATAACCTAGAATTTGTTATCTTTAGGTAAGTCAGAATTCATTGTGTGCTGTCTTAGAATTCTCACATATTTCCACCACTGTTCAGTCAAAACATTTCGTGTCAGGATGCGACTTTTAAACAAATGTGCCACAGTTAAAAGCTTTGTGGTTGAACACTGCTATATGAGTGCTTGTAGATATGTTTACTTCAAGCATTTGTGCATTTTTAACCTCAGCTGTGGGTAAGAGTCAAGTGGTCTGACTCATATTTCAACCATTGTACCCTGTGACGAGAGCTCCCACTGCACATTCAGTAATAGCCAGTATATTTGTGGTCAAAAGTAAAATTCCCTCCCCAGTCAGGAACTGAACCCTTATCAAGATTTGTATTGTCTATTCCTCATTTAACCTGTAAGCATAGTATTATTGCTGTAACAAAATGCTATATGCATTGTAGTAAGAAATTAAACATGACTGAGTCATAGCTTAGGCTACCATCATTTCGTGGTGCAAGTTATTTATTTAACGATGTGTAAACTGTTAAGTGATTACATCCAGAGAGATCTTTAGTGTTCTGATCTTATTATGAGCAGAATTGTAATTTTCAACTTGATATGTTCTGTAATGTACTAAAGGAACCTCTTTGTTTGGGGAGAGACAACTTATAGTTCGGAGGATGATACTAAAATCACTGCACTGACATGCTTGCCAGTGAATTTTCAGCTCTCGTGGAGTTGGATACTTCATTATAATTTGTAGCATTTCTTTGATGATACTCTGTCGCCTGTACAAGGTATGCCTACATTGATGTGGAGTGTCCAGTTTGTAGAAGTACTTGTGTTCTATTTTAAGGTATTGTGCCTGCATTTTGAACCATAAAGTGTGAAGGATCTAATCTGCGCCTGAACCCGGCATCTCCTTACGGAAAGACGATACATTGTTCCATGTTCTGATGTTTGGAGCTGCAAGAAGTTTGTGGTTTCCATTTTGCTAGACATCTGCAGTATGTGTAACTTTGAATCAGGAAACAGACAAGTGTCATGACGCTTTTAACACTGATGATTGGTTCATTTCTTGTAGGCGGTGGTTCTGAGTGTCATCATGGAGAAGATGGATATTGATGATGATGCAGTTGTGGATCTGAGTGTCAGGTATGTCCCACTGGTATTACTCCCAGTGTTGCTACATACGTATCTCCAAAAGCCTTACTTTGGTTGTTTTGTTATCCATTGTGTAACTGTTCACCCTGTAAGATCTGGCATCTCTGGAAGTGCAGGGTCCCAAGTATAAAGTTGTTCTAAGGGAAGCGGGTTTGACTAGATTTTAACTTTGTGGAATCAAGGTTCTTGTTCACGGTTTTATTACCTAGTAATTTTATGTTTGTTTTGTAGCAGCAGTAAGCCTTGCCATTTATGATATTAACAATCCTTTATTGAGCTGGATTTTGTACACTTTTTTTTTATCTTTATGTCCAAATGTGTATCCGTTTGTTTTCATCTGAATTCAACAGTACCGTGTAAGGTAGGAAGTGAACATGGTTGAATCAGCTAGTTACATATTAGGAAATATATTTATATCGCAACGTGTTTTTATAGAATTTGTTCAACCCTTTCTTGGTAATGATGCATATATTTGCATCTCAATAAGGAGTTTCAGATGGAGGATTACATTTTGAATTCTTTGCCAAATATTATTACCGAATGAGAATTATGTTAGCGTGGTCTGTAGAATGCCCAGAAAACATAATAAATGCTTATAAAAATTTGGTTGGACAATTTGAAGGGTAGCTACAACTTGTGAGTCTTAGGCACAGATGGGATGATAATATTAAAATGCTAGTAAATTACCCGCCAACTTTATAGGCTGTAATATACTCAAGACTTGAAAGAGATAAGAAAGGGTAACACATTTTGCTTTAATATATATATAGAGAGTGAGAGAGAGCGCAGAAACCCTCAACACACTGCAACATATAAGACGAGGAGTACTCGACTGATAAAGAATTTTTATGTGTTCTCCTGCAGATGAGTTGTAGCCACATTGATGAAATTAGTTATTAACCGATGATTTTTGCCTTTTATTTGATTATGCTTTCACCAGCTTGAACTATATGGCATTAAATATGAAGGTGATTAATTAATAATGAATCAAAAAGAATGTGTTAGGAAGTGGTGATGACCTAATTGAAGTTAAAACCACAAGAAACCTGAGTCAGTATAGCCGGTCTCCAGGCCAAGATTTGAACCTTGGGCCGCTTAAATATAAAGCGGGAGTTTTAAACCATCTGACTGTGACATTTGGTAATACAGGTAAAACTCTTTCTTGTGTCACTGAAGGTAGATGAACAGAACCTTCAAGATAATTTCATCTCATAGTTGTATGAGTGTGAGATCGTATATCCCCAAAGTTATGTGTGTCGTGGTGTGCAGGCGAGACCGAGACGTTCAGCAATCGCCAGCTGTCAGGAATATGTTGGGTGCAAGTGAGGTGCCACAGGATCTTTCCCGTTCACACAGGCCCATTGCAGAGGACATTGTAGGTGGTAGTGACACTATACCTCGGGGCATGATCCCTCGTAGTATAAAGGAGTTTGATGATCGCTACCCACGACGCAACCTGAGGCCCCGAACAGAGCGTAACTATGCCGAGAGTCCCGACATCATTGTGCTGTCTGATGAGGAACCTCGATTAAATGGGTTTGCAACCAATGGTTATGACAGCGACACAGATGATGGGGAGATGCCACCGCTACCTCCTATTAAGGTGAGTGAAGTGATGGTTTAACACATACAGAAGTCCTTGCAGGACAAATTTGTCTATCAACCAAGCCGTGAACACACGTGTGGGGTATTGATACAGAACTTTATACAGTTTAGACCCTGGTTTCCTCATTCCGTGACAGTTAAAGGGCCCCTGTACGAATTGGACAGGAGGCTAGTTGAAAATTACAGCTGGTCACTTCCAACTGAGTTACCTCATGTGATTTTGGCAGGAGTAAGAAATTCAGAATGGGAAAATATCATAAATTACACGAGGCATTGCGCATCAGGGCGTGTTATACATTGAATCCTAAGCGCGGTACCCAGCTTTTGGAATGAATTGTACAGGAACTGTCACCAGCAGAGCTTGCAGAGCGTGAACGGGGGCTGCGCAAGCTTCGTGAAGAGCTGCGTAATGAGGAGATGAAGCTGGTACTGCTGAAGAAGCTCCGCCAGTCACAGCAGATGAAAGAGAATATTGCGGTGGTGCCCCCCAGTCAGCAGCCTTCCTCCAAGTTGCCACCTCCGGGCAAACTGCCTCCCCCACCTCAACAGCAGCCACCACCTCCACTTGTGAGGACGAACCACACCAAACAGCCGGTTCCAAACATCATCCCACCTCTGCTCCGAGGGGTGAGTCTTACGCTGAATTGCCTTTTGAATCTGTTTATATTGTAACTTGGTTCGAGCATAATGCCGCTTGAGACCGCCACCTCTGTCGTACTGCTTTTTCTGTCGCCATTAATACTAACACGGACCACAAACTTTTGAGGTGGAAGTGGCATTAGAACCACACATTTTTTTAATTTCAAAGATCAACATGGAAGCGACCGAAAATCTACATTTAGCGTTCTGTTTGGTGCTGATAGTTAATGGTCGAGGTTTATAAAATTTTGTATGGTATGTTTTTTTACGTAATAACAGTTGCGGACAAGAACAGTGTAAAACTTTGAGGTTACGAGGTCTGACAAGTTAACACAGTCTGGATATTAGACTGAGGCATCTGAAGGCAGTTACTATCAGAAAGTATGAATTAATAATTGCACATATTAATGGCTTATTTCAATGCGTAATTTCCATCGAGGTCCTGCCGCTTGATAGTTTTGCGATATAACCTCAAAGTTTCACGCATGCAAAAGAATTAGTTTATGCAGAGTTTGTATGCATGTCTCCACACAACATTTTACACATGTAACTCAAATTGTTATTAGTTAAAACATTATTACCTTAATAAAAGATGGGCTATGTAAATTGAAGCTAGTGTTGCTGCCAAGTACGTACTGAGCTGTTGAGTATAAGATTGGAGTGACCTTAGTGATATGACATTTATATAAATTTTAATGAAAATATGTTAATAAGTTTAAGGTTTTTATTGGAGAGAACAAGTAAGTGGACATAACGCTGCCATAAGCCTGTTTTACCTTTTAAATTTACAGACTTAAGCTGAAAAAGACATTCAGCATGTGTCCTTACAAGCTGCTCATGTATCTGACATGGTGTTCTGATGTTGTAGCAACCTCCACCCTCAAGGGGTCAGAATATTCACCACCCTCCACCACTGATGATGGCTCCACAGCAAGGTCGTGGCTCATCTACAGGGCTGCCACCCAACATGGTGCTGACTCAGCAGTCCCTCCAACGAGGTGAGATTTTATTTATGCAATTCGTTATGAGAAGTAAAGAAATGTGGCAAATCTTCCTTTAAGCATCTTTTTCGCTCTTTCATCTTGCATTTCTTCTTTTGTATCTTTGAATATAATTTATGTGTGATTTTCATTGCATCATACAGGTGGGGGTGGATCGCTGGGTGGCAGACCTCCTGTGAACACGCCTCCTAATGTGGTGATGGGCTATCCTATGGGGTCACAGGACCGCAGTGCTCCGAAAGAGTCTCATCACTCCCCCGTTACACCACCAGTCTCACAGACGCAACAGCAGGTGAGAACTTGCTCTATTTGTGGCCGTCTTATCCCTCTCGATGGCCACTGCGTGGTAACATCGTTCAAATTTTCTTGACTCGTATATTTTACCAGATGATACGGCGCTAAGTTGTCCGACTTCGTCGCAGGAGTCTGACATTTGAGTCGGATCCATCGTGGAGTTTTCCATCTACCTTTCTGTTTCCTCACTTCTGAAAGTGGTAAGACTTTGTCGTTGTGAAGGAGTGCCAGTCACTCCACCTTGATTCAGACCTCGTGGTAATCTGTAGGAACCATCAGAGTTTACGTTATAGCTTCCCCCACCTTCGTCACTGTTACCAAGGCTCTAGTTGCAACATTGTACAAATTCTTTGTGGCAGATGTCTCTGGTTGTGGTCTGACCTTCCACGTTTGACTTTTCCCATTTTTTTGGCAGGTAATCTGACAGTGAGTCATGATACCTTAGTAACGTGTTTTATGTGGAATTTCTCTGATGTTTTTGATTCGAGTAACCTCACTGGTTGGCAGAGTATAGTCTGCGTATGGTATCAGTGAACTGTGCCGTGTGCACTCGAGAGATCCATCCATTTAACATGGTTTGCGACAGTGCATCAATCTTGCGATGAAACAGTGTTTCAACTCGTAGGCACGGTGACGGATCAGACGGCTACCCCATGGGTCTCTCCCATTGGCAAATAAAGACAATTTCCAGATGTGTTGAAGAGAATCTCTGGAAATGTGCTAATGTTGACGTGAGGAGCATCACAGTTTTTATACTTCACGTACACAGCAGTAACTTTGCACTGAGAATCCTGTACTGTGGACCCCTGACATCAAGCTTGGGACATCCTGGGTTTGAATCTCAACCTGAAGTAGATATCATGACTCAATGTCCTGTGGTTTTTCTACCTCCAGGCAAATTGTGAAATTTTACCTTAAAATAGGCCACGACCACTTCCTGATGTTTGTTTATTTTTAGTGTACAGTTGTTAAACGACTCGGTAAATGGTTTGTTAAAAATGCACAGATTAATGTGAGCTTTAACTTAGTGATACGCTGTTGTGCTTGTAGATACTCGGCAATGTGGAGAACAAAGCTCCCGTGAGCTCCATCCCCCTGCAGCTACCGGAGCAGGTACAGTAGTGCCAGTATTTTGATGGTGTTGTGACCGTTGTTGTTGTGTTACGTGGACATACAAAGAGAAGGTCCAGTCTTCTCTTTTCAGGTCCGCAACTTGCTTGTGTAAACGTGTATCATTGCAGTTAGGGCGCCCACAATAATATGAGTTGTAGGGTCTTCCGCGCTGTAAATCTGTTGTTACTGTAAAAATATATTTTTTGTTTTGTAGCTTATCTGCTGCCTGTCTTTATGGCAGGTGAGTGTTGGAAGTCGGTTCTTTTGAAGCACTTTTACAATAGTATGTGGCATTAAATCTAGAAGACTCTAATCTGCGCACAGGTCACAATGAAATTGAGAACACTTACTTTGTCTGACAAGTTCCTTTACTTTAGTCAGAATATCGTAAATTTAATCTATAAAGTATTTTTGCCCAACAAAGCTGGAAATATGAATTCTGTCCAGGAGACTCCTTTAACTATTTACAGGAGTACAGTCCTTTTTTAGAAGCTAATAGTCATTTAGCATTCAAGAAATTCCCATCTTTTTATGGAACCTGAAGGTTTATTACTGTTTTCATAAGAGCCCACCACTGGACTCTTGTCATGAGCTAGAGAAGTTCAGTCCTGATCCTGGGACCCTGTTAATTAAAGATCCACCTAAAGATTTCAAAATCTGTTTCTAGACAAAAAGAAAACACTTCTCTGTTACACACTGAACACTACAACTGAGTAGTTAGCACTTTTGCATCATATTCAGGAGGTCTGAGGTTTAAATCTTAGCTCAGAGACCTTGTCCTGACTGAGGTTTTGCTGTTTTCCTCAGTCCATCCATGCAAATGCCAGGGTAGAACCTTAAATTAAGCTATAGCCACTTCCTTCCACAGTCTTTCCAGTGCTTTGTAGTCTGCGCTGCTTACAGCTTAATTGAATAAAATTATAAATAAATAAGTCTTAATAATTGAATATGTTGATTTGTAACAGCTGCTTATTGTGAGAACAATATGAAATACATAGGTGAACTCTGCTGAGTTATTCAGTATTACAGTAATTACCACTGCCTCAAATAATGGATTCAGTTGGTGAACTATCATTTAAATAGCCTGAAAACACTGTGTTACGAATCTTTGAATTGGGCAATGTTTTTGGCGCGCGTCCAAATGAAGTCATTTATTTATTTTGGTGTTTAGTTGCCTTGATGTTTCTTTTAAATAGTGTCTTGGTGCAAGGATTTGAAAGGTTTTGTTTCTTTGCTTATATTATGTGACATTTTGCTAATGCATTTATACTTGTGAGGTTTGTTGATAATGCTGACAAGACCCACCGAACAGTTGAGGTTGTGCTGGCAAGACTTGCCAAACACCTTGTGTTCAATTGAAGGTTATGTAAGAATTGGGATTCCGAGAGCTTAATGTGATAATGGAAATCTCAAAGTGGTTGATATAAGCACTGATATGTTTATGTGGAACCTGTAGGGATATCTGTCTTAGGTTATGATGTTACGTGGTCATGAATTCTTCATGTTCATGATTTTTTAGCAAGTCTATGGTATCTCCCTCATGTTGTGTTGATGGAACCGATTAGGTTAAATTTTGTAATTTCTCAAGCCTCATATGTCATATATTGAGGTCAATTTGCACAAACAGAAGCTACCCCTACATCTCAGCAAAGCGTTTGTTGTGTCACGGTGAGAAAAAGTCCAAATGTTTGACCAGACGCGTGTATTTTCATCAAAACAGTACATGTTCCGTAGCTTTTTCTGTGAAATGTTTATAATCAGTGGCATGCATTATGCTCACCAGAGATAGTCCAGTGTTACTTCATGTTTCCACATTAAGGAGCTCCTTGAAAGGGGCTCTCATTTGATCAGTGACAATACTGGCAGAATATCTGGAAAATGGTTTCTGGTGATGTTTCCAAGCATGACACAATTTTTTTTCAATGTATATGTGAATTCAGAAGGCAAGGAATTTCAAGGTGACCTCACTCACTGATAGTTTGTAATGTTTTTATTTATCAGACATATGAAATGTAAAAAATACTATTATGGTAACATAATGAAAATAAGCAGAGACCAAAAACAGCTTACAGTAGGTTACCTAACAGGTTACCTAACTGTTAATGCATCTGACTTGTGTTTGGTAGGTACCTAATTCTTGTCTCTGATGGCACCAGTTTCCATGATTGTAAACTAAATCTGTAGGTTGTTTGAGTAATTTCTCTTGCAGGTTCATTATGAATACTAAGATAGTGCCTTAAAATTGGTTATGGCCACTTTGTCTCCAGTTCGTACCGATTACGTTTCACGATTATCTTGGTTTGCCTTATACTAATTTCATCTGTAATGTCAATATTACTGCAGGAGCGGGTACGTGTGGAAGAGACACAAACACCGGCACAGCGTCAGGCCGCTGCAAAATTGGCGTTGCGTAAACAGCTGGAGAAAACCCTCTTGCAGGTCGGTAACATTAGGTGTGTGCTGTGTTTTGGTCTCGGTGTAGATTGCTTATATTTCAACACTGAAGCGTGTGGTGTTTCAGATCCCTCCCCCAAAACCACCCCCACCAGAGATGCACTTCATCCCAAACCCATCAAACACGGAGTTCATCTACCTGCTTGGATTGGAGCATGTTGTAGACTACATCACCAAGGACCAGAAGACCCCGCCCCCACCCGACGCATTCAAATGCTCGCAGTGCCAAACAGACTTTACGCCTGTGTGGAAGTGGGAAAAGAACCCAGCTAAAGGTAAGAACCGCCTCTTGGGACAGTTTACGCATGTTGGTTTATGTGCAGCTCACCACACGTATCACCATTTGACTTGAACTTACTGCTTTTGCAGTTTGGCCCTTTTACCAGAAGCAGGAATCTTTATTGTGAGCGTTTTTGGTCGAGGTTCAATAAAAGCGTGGCCATACACTGTCTGTGACACTGCGGACCCACAGGTTTCTTAGGTCTTTGATGAGTGCTAATCTGAAACTCAAATGATCCAACTTTTGATTGTCTGTTGTTTACCCAAAGTCCCATTATGTTGTGGATGACAACATTTAACAATCCTTTGAAGTATTTAATATAGCACTTGTCCCCTTTCTAATCTCTCTCCCCCCCCCCCCCACCCTCC